CATGAATCCAGTCCCTTTTGCTGCCTTTCAGAGATATTATTTGCATTGCCAGCAAATATGCATGAACACACACACACTGAAATGGGCAGACAGTATAGACGCCTTTTCACTCCAATTGTTTCACGTCAAAAACTGTGTCTGAAATTAGTTGCATCAGAAAATAGCTTCTTCTTATGTTAAATCTACCTAGAACTCCATTATGAACATGCACTATAATTTACTTAACCAGTCCCTTATCAAAGAATAGTGTTTTTTTCCAATTATTAACTTTGTGCCCAACTCCAATTACTAAGGCCCCACACACATCTGCTCACCAAAGTGCACACTGTTTGAAGGATAAACTCCTCCATGTGGGATGCTGGGTCAGATGTCTGGCCTTTGGTAATTTTCCCAGGTATCCTTGCATCTCCCTTCATGACTCTAACTGAAGATGAAAGGGCTCAGGGGGTTGCAAATTTTAAGCAGCAGGACATCACTGCAGCTGTATCATCAATGGATGGGGTATCTCCAATGTTGGGCAAAATCCAGAAATGCAAAATCACACAGCTCTCCACATGTATCTTTCCCAGGGTCACAGATACTTTGCCTCTCCCTCTCCCTCTGCCCTTGGATGACATCATTCCTCAACTGCTGACAGTTAGCATGAAAGAGGAAGTAAGTCAGAGGAAAGGGGAGGGCACCACCGAAAAAGACTATGTTGCTGGGGGGAAGGCAGGAAGAAGCCCTTTCCTCAGATATGGCCTGATGCTGGGAGACAAGAGGGAAGGACACATCGGCCTTCAGGGGTCCAGGGGCTAAGGGATGCAACATGCCCTCTGGCACAAAAGGCCTCAGCAGCAGGATAGGACAATGCCCCAGGCTGGGGAGGGACAGGATGAGTTCTGCCAAAAAGAAGCCCAGGAAATAGAAGAGAGAGAAGGGAAGGAGGGCAGGGGAAAAGGGGAAGAGGAAGCAGGGTGAGGAGACGGGCGGCCTGCTGCATTTCCTCTGCAAAGCTAACTGGTGGTTAATTCACAGATGAAAGAATCCAAATCATGTGACATTGATCTCAGTGATTTCACCGAATGCAAGAACTGTGAGTACAAACACCTCACTTCCCTGGAGCCGCCCAGCTCAATGCAGGGAGATGCCCACACATCCTTAGGAATCCTGTTGGGTGACAGACACAAGAGGAGGGGCTGAGCTGCACCCTGAGTACCTCCAAGCACCCAACCAACTCCTCAGCACATGAAATGTGGCAGCTTACCTGCTTCTCCAAATTACTGAGACTCACTATCCAGGCCATAAACGGGACAAAATGCCCTGTAGGAGTTTCAGTAGGATCTCCCCAGGCCCAAGATGGTCTGCAAAGTACAAATGTGCATGGAGCCTGAGCAAGGAGCAGGCCCAGGCCCTCACCCCAGGGAGAATGAGAGGCAGAAATTCCCTCCAGTGTCCCAACCATACCCAGGAGACAGGGATAATAGGAAATGGTGGGACAGCAGCCACCATGACAGCCAAATCAGGAAATTGGTGACATTTCATGATCCCCAGAGCAGAAATAGCACGGAGTCTGGGCAAGAAGCCTTTTCCTCCTTATGCAGGTTTTCGGTTATTAAAAACCGTTAAAAGAATGACATGTTTATTTAAATTTGTCACCAGGAAAACAGTAAATGACGACATTGGAACTAGGAAAGGTGTATGAGTGTGTAAAAATGTTAAATCTCTATCACGCTTACATATTCCATCCTTAATACGCACACCTAATGAGTATGGTATCTAACAAAACAAAACAAAAAGCCAACTTCTTTCATATTGGCTCAGACCTCAGAAATTGTACATTCTCATTGTCATTTAACCCCCAAAGTCCCGTATCTGTGGCCAAATCAATTACTAGAGTGAGAGTGGTGATATCAGTATTTGCCTCAGCATTGGGGTCCTACACTCCATACCTCTGAGTGGCCTTGGACACATTACTTAGCCTCCCTATGTCAGTCAGCCTTGATTCAAGGGACTGGATCAGATGAATGCCAACTGTATTTCACCTACAAGTGACAGAAAGTGCTACACAAAGTGGTTTAACAATAGCAATATATCGCCAGTTCTGAGCACTCAGAGATGGTGTTAGCTTCAGCATTCTCGCCCAAACAATGACAGCAGGACCCATCTCTTGGCTCTACCACTTCTGGGTAGGCTCTATTTTGGTTCCACGTGGAGTCCCCCACCTACCAGGAGTTTCACCACCCATTTCTTTCTCAAATAGCTCAAATGACAATCACCCAGAAATGACCTCCAGGGCTCCCACTGGCCTGACTTGTCCCGTCCCCACCCTTAGGGCCAGTGCTGTGGTAGGGAGACGGGGTGCACTGGCTGGCACAGCCGGTGCCTGCAGCCAGCTTATAGATTAAGAGTGTAATTAGTTATGTTTTATCTCCCCACAGAGAGACCTTCAGGCAGCAAACTAAATCCAGCACACATAATGCCAGAGAATTTTCGAGAATGAAAGCACTCTGAAACTTCTCTGAAGAAATATGGAGCCAAGGACATCCTTGTGATTAAGGAGCCAAGTTGAATGGTGTTCTGGACATGTCAACTATTCTTTGGAATTTCACCAATGTTACCTTGAATTAACAAGTGCAAGAAAATCAGGAATGGGGTTTGGGGCACTTTGTAATCATCACTTTAAAAATTATCTTGTTTTCATGCAGAAAATGACTCACTTGTCTTCAATTTCTACAATATAGGAGTTTCACTGTATGTTTATGATAAGTAAAAGCACTACTTAAGAGTCCCAGGTTCGATTCCGGCCAAAGGTACCTACTTCGGTTGCAAGCTCGAGATGTCTCTCTCTCTCTCCCCTTACCCCTTCCACTGTCTCTGAAAAGCAGTGGAAAAAATATCCTAGGGTGAGGATTTAAAAAAAAGATTTTTCTTTCCATACTTCTGCCCTCCCCTCTCCAACTTCAAGTGCTTTCTTTTGCCCATTGGCCCAACATGAAAATCACACAGGGACTAGGATCCAGTGTCCCCATCATCATGTTACACAGCGAAAGTCACAGACCAAATGCTAAAAGATATATGGAATAGAGCAGGTAAGAAGAGCCTGGTGATACCATGAACAGGGAAATAAAGAATCTAGGTCCCAGCTTAGTGACCATAGGCCATGCCAAGTAGCTGTTAGAGGGAAGCAAGCTAAGCAGGAAACCTATAAATAAAGAGAACCCCAGAAAAGTTTACAAGAAGAGTACTGAGAAACACAACTGTGACCTCTATACCAGGCAGAGACCCTCTGTCCTGGAAACAAAAGAGCTCAGACTGTGGACACCAAGACTAGATAGGCTAAGCAGGGCCAAAGACTGGGCTTTCCTCACAGTAAGGGGCAGCACCCCCCAAAATAAAGGCCAAATCACACTTTTAGTTTCAGCCCTTTGTCCAAACCTTAGGACTTGATTTCTCCCCAGGCTAGTACCTCACAGTCAATCCTTTCTTGGTAAATGGCAATACAATCCACTCAGCTTTCCTATCCAGACCCTTGGGAATTGTTCTTCATTCTTGCCTCTCATGAACAGATCCTGTTGATTCTGTTCCAGAAGCACCTTTCCCCATCTGTCTGTTTCTCTCTATCACCATCCTAGTCCAAGTCACCAATAACATTTACCAGGGCTACTGGTCTCCCTGTCCTTGCCAGCTATGATCCATCCTATACCTGGCAGCCAGAGTACTCTTTATAAAAATATATACTCCCTACTTAAAAACCTTCCAACCAGTGGTGAGTATATGAAAAAAATCAAAACCCTTGTGCACTGCTGGTGGGAATGTAAAAAGTGATTGAATCTCTGTGGAAAATGGGTTGGCTATTCTTGGAAAAATAAACGTAAGATTTATATATGACCCACTAATTCCACTATTAGGTATATGCCGAAAACAACTGAAAACAGATATTCAAACAAACTCTGTATATTAGTGTTCATAGCAACACTATTCACAATAACCAAAAGGTATAAGCAGCCATAGAAAGGAATGAAGTACTCATACATGTCACAATGTGGCTCATCCTTGAAAGAATTACGTTCAGTGAGCAAAGCCAAACACAAAATATCACATATTATACAAACAATTCAGTTCATATGACATATTCAGAATAGCTATATGCAGAGAAACAGAATACAAAGAAAAAGAGAGAGAAGACTCAAGTTACTCAATCAGAAATAAAAGAGGGGGAAATTTAAAAAAGAAATGAAAGAGGGAATATTACTATCAATCTTAAGAGAAATAAAAGGATTACGAAAGAATACTATGCCCCCAGCCGGGCACTGGCTCAGCAGCTGAGCACTGACCTAGGATCCAGGAGATTGTGGTTTGATTCCCAGTCAGGGCACATGCCCAGGTTGCAGGCTCAATCCCCAGCAGGGGGTGTGCAGGAGGCAACCGACCAATGACAATTCTCTCATCATTGATGTTTCTCTCTCTCCCCCTCTCCCTTCCTCTCTCTGAAATCAATAAAAGATGTATTTTAAACAGGGTGGGGGGAAAAGAGGTCCAGAGGGAAATCCTCAGGTAAAATATGAGAATAAAGTGAGATCAGCAGGTGAAACAATGTCATCAAACTATAACGTCAGAAAGATCTAGAGCAATTTTTCCCAAGCGAATGGTTCTATCTTCCCCGCCCCTTCAGTCTAATTCCCAGGGTTTGGAGGGGAAAACCAGAGAAGTTAGCAGTATCCACAGCAGAAACTGGGTTGGGCAACACTTAACACAGATACTTTAGAGAAAATCCCTTGAAACACTAACCAAGAAAGGAATGATATAAATGTAGAGACTGATGGACCACTTTAGTTTAGGTAAATTTAATTATTCTAAAGGCTATTCATGTGGCAGAAGAGAGATGTGTTTTCCATTTGACATCCAGTTGCTTCACCATTTGCAGCTTGTCTTCAAAGCTTCATGGCCTCTTTCATCAGTGACCAGTCATAACTCACTTCCTGTTGGGAAGGACTGCTCACATCAACTCTGATGTCATTGCTCAAGTGAGCAATCTGCTGAGGAGCCCTTCAGAGTGGTCCTGCAGATAGCATGTCCTCTAAGTGTCTGAGAGCTGGCGGAGGTAATCTGAAAGAAAACCAGTCGGGGGAAGGCAAGGTAACCAAGACTGTACCACAGGGATATAACGTGGAGCCTCCAGAAGAGAGGCCACCACAAGGGACCTGATGGAGGTGACAGGCCAGCAGAGACTGCATGGTTCCTGTATGCCCCCAATCCTGGGAGGAAGAGACGTCTGATGCAATGGTAATGCATATAATTTTAAAAGTCCAAAATAAGTTAGTCTCAAACAGCCACTTCTTCTCTCTTGGGAGATGGCTCCACCCCAGCTCCAACCATGATGAGTTCAGGTATGAGCTGCCCATCACAGACTCTGCCATTCTACCTCCAGGGGTAAGCTGTAATCCAGGCTGGACCAATCAAATCCTTCCGTATGGCCAAAATTTGGTGAGAAAGGCTCTCTTTCATCTCTAATTAAGAGCTAAAAGCATGTGACCCCAAAGGTACCAGTGGTCTCATTTCTTACCATGAGAACAAGTCAGTCCATTAGTAAATATTTACTGAGTGCCTATTATGTTCTAGGAATAGTCCTAGGTGCTGGAGATACTAAGATGAGCAAAAAAGACATTTTCCCTGACCTCAAAGGAGCTTTCAGGAAAAAACAGACAATAATATGTAAAGAAACAAACAATAATGATTTCAGACACTGAAAAGTGCTATGAAGATAAAATGCGCTAATGTGGTCAACACTGACAGGAGCAAGGCAGAGGGAAGATGCTCTAGTACTACAGTGGCCAGAGAAGGCCTCTCAAAGCAGTGACATTTGAGAGAGAACCTGAAGGTTCTTGTTTTTGTTTTTTATTTTATTTTATTGTTTCCATCACCAGTTATCCCCTCTATGCCCTCTTCCACCTCCACCCACACTCCACCCTCCGCAATCACCACACTGCTGTCAGAACCTGGAGGTTTCAAAGAATGCAGCCAGGCAAAGATCAAGAGCCTCCCAAGCAACACAGCATGTACAAAGTCCTTGACACTAAACTAGGTGTGAGGGACAAAAAGGAGGCTACCAAGGCTGGAAGAGGGGGAATAAGAAGAGTGGAGGGAACGAGAGGTCGCAAAGGTAGCTGGGACAGATCATATAAGGCCTTGCATTTCATGCTGGCTCCAAGGGGAAGCCACTGGAGGGCTTAAGCAGAGGAGTAAGTAATCTGATCTAGAAAGATCACACTGCCTACTGTGGGACAGACAGGCTAGCGGAGAACAAGAATGGAAGCCTCTGGAATTCTCATGCACGGCTGGTGGGAGTGTAAAATGGTACCATCACTTCGGCTATTTCTTTTTTAATCCTCACCCAAAGATATGCTTAGAGGAAGAGGGAAAGAGAGGGAGAGAGAAACACTGATATGAGAGAGAAACATCAATCAGTTGCCTTCATTATGCACCCCAACCAAAGATCGAACCCACAACCTTTCGGGGCACAGGAAGACACTCAACCAACTGAGCCACTCCGGCCAGGCTCCAATATTTCTGTTATACAAACCATATGGCCCAGCAACTCCAAGCCATATACCCAACAGAAATGAGTATGTATATGCACTAAAACACAGTATAGGCCCAACCAGGCGTGGCTCAGCGGTTGAGCATCGACCTAGGATCCAGGAGATTGCAGTTCGATTCCCCATCAGGGCACATGCCTGGGTTGTGGGCTTGATCCCCAGTTGGGGGCATGCAGGAGGCAGCCAATCAATGATTCTCTCATCATTGATGCTTCTATCTCTCCCTCTCCCTTCCTCTCTCTGAAATCAGTAAAGATATATATTTAAAAAAAAAAAAAAATTCAGTACAGAAACATTCATAGCAATTCTATTCATAATAGCTCCAAACTAGAACCAAAATGGCCAACCAAAGTACAATGCACAAATAAATTGTGGTATATTCAGACAATATGGAGTAAATACAAGGGTGGGCAAAAAAGTAGGCTTACAGTTGTGGGTATGCAAAACACAGAGTTAATAATCATAACCTGCAGGTCTTTTTCCATACGAACAACTGTAAACCTACTTTTGCCCACCCCTGTACAATCATGGATGAACTGCACAACCTAAGCTTGAGGGAAAGAAGACAGGCACCAAAAATATATACTGTATGATTCAATTGTATAACAATAAAAAACAGGCAAAACTAAACTATGGTACTAGAAATCAGGATTCAAGGCAACTGGTAGGGACATAGGGGGCTATCTAGGGTCCTGAAAATATTGTTTCTTGATCTAGGTGTTAGTTACATGGGTAGGTTCACATTATAATTCATCAAGTAGTACGCTTATAGTGTGGCAATTTTCTACATTTATGATATACTTCAATAAAATAATTCTATTTTAAAATATAGATGCAGAAGACCAGTGAAGAGGATACTGCAGTCTCCCAGCCAAGAAATTATGGTGGATTGAAGATGAAAAGAAATGGTCAGGTTCAACATATACTCCATAAGAAGAGCTGAAACAGACTGTGGGTAGGAGTACAAGAAAGCAAGTATCTAGGATGATTCCTAGATTTCTGGCTTAAGCAACTCGGTGGTGACATTTACTGACATGGAGAAATCTTGATAAGATAAAAATTGCAGGAAAGCAGGAAGAATTCATTCCATTTTGGCTGCATTAAGTTTAAGGTGCAAGAAAAAAAGGAGATAAGTACAAATCTCTTGAGAAGATGGGAAGGGATGGAAGAGAAGGCACAAGAAGCAGCACTGACAGAAGATGCAGAAGCTTCCTACAGCGTGCCAGGCAAGCAGGCTGGTGTGGCTCAGTGGTTGAGTGTCGCCCCATGAACCAGGAGGTCACAGGTTCAATTTCCAGTCAGGGCACAATCCCAGGTTGTGGGCTCGATCCCCAGTAGGGGGTGTGCGGGAGGCAGCCAATCAACGTTTCTCATCAGTGTTTCTATCTCTCTATCACTCTCCCTTTCCCTCTCTCTAAAAAAAAAAAAAATCAGTAAGAAAAAACAAAAAACAGAGTGCCAGGCGAGCGAACAGCATGATGGGTAGAGATGGGAATGAGCTGGTGGACATAATGACGACACAGTGAGGTTTCATCTGACTGTATCTATCTTCTTTATGAAATATAAGGCAGACATCAGCTGAGATTAGGGATAGGCAGATGAAGATTTAAGAAGAGAGTGGGAAAGTCAATTTACTAGGGAAATATGGGGTCAGGATTTCAGGGCCATGCTCAGTGCTCATTTTTTTGTGGTCATGAATTTCAACTGCGTGCAGTCAATTTATGTGGAAGAGACTATTCCTTACCCCCCAACATTTCTCCTCTTCTCCCTCAGGAACAAAACTCCCAATTTTTAACTGGACACGCGGTCATTCAGAATGAAGAGGACACTCCGCAGACTCTGAAGCTTGGTGTGCTGTTACTGTGGTAGAGAGCATGCGGAGCAGCTGCGCTCCTGAGATGAAGAGGGCATGCCCTTCCCCTTTCTTCTTTGTCCTTCCGCTCCCTGGGTATGGAGGCGGCCAGAGCAGCCTCTTGGATCATGGAGGTGACCTTGAAAGCCGAGGCCACACATGGAAAAACAGAAGGACCCATGAAGACAGCACAACCACCAGTCCTGGGCCTTCCTTACCTAGACTTTTATGAGAAAGAGAACGCTTAGCTCATTTAAGCCACTATATTTTGAGTTTTCAATCACCATCATCTGACCTAATCTCTATAATCTACAGAGATTAACTTTGTGCCTTTCCCCAGCAATGTTCAGCTGACAGGGTGCAGATGCAGAGGAGAGAGAGATAAGACAGTGAAATTCATGAGGGAGTGGCTCCAGCATAGCCCGGAGTCTCTAAGTGAAGACAAATGAGAACAGCAGAGATGAGCAACAGAGAAAGAGCAGCAGGACCCTGGCTCCACGGCTCCTGCTTCAGTTTAACCCTCCCACTAAATCTCTCTTGTGGGGCTTATGTCACTTGGGAATAAAAGAGAGTACCAAGTAATACAGCATAACTGTCTACCTTCTTAACAAATGGAATTTTTCCATTTTACAAAAGAGTATCACCTAATACTACAACCGAACCCACCAACCTCATTCCTTTTATTGTTTAATATGTTTGTATTGATTTCAAGGCCATGCTCAGTGCTCATTTGAGTTTTGTGGTCATGAATTTCTTCTGTAATAAGAAGAAGGGAGAGGGTAGGGAGAGGGATAGAGAGACAGAAACATCGATGAAAGAGAAACATCAACTGGCTGCCTCCTGCACGCTCCCTACTGGGGATCGAGCCCACAACCCAAGCATGTGCCCTGACCAGGAACCAAAATGGTGACCTCCTGGTTCCTGGGTCGACGTTCAACCACTGAGCCACACTACCGGGCTCTCATTCTTTTTTTCAAGTACCCCTTAGCTACAGTGTAAAGAAAGGAGGAGGAGGTATGGGGGAGCAACTAAAAATTAAAGAAATGAACATTCAGAAGAGAGAGAAATAAAAAATAAGACAGTGTCCAGGCCTGGCCGGGCGTGGCTCAGTGGTTAAAGCGTCGACCTAGGATCCAGGCGATCAGGGTTCGATTCCCGGTCAGGGCACATGCCCAGGTTGCGGGCTGCAGCCGATCAATGACTCTCTCATCACTGATGTTTCTAACTCTCTCTCTCCCTCTCCTTTCCTCTCTCTGAAATCAATAAAGATATATTTTTAAAAAAAAAAAGTGTCCAAAACAAAAATAACAAGTGGAGAAGCCTATGAGAGACTGTTTCTAGATCAATCACGTTGCTGCCTAGTAGGAATTAGTCCACTTAGAAAATTCCTAGGTAATATTTAAGTAAGACAATCCCCAGTCAGGACAAGGACAGAAGGGAGTGGGATCATAAACTCATCAACCAACTAACTGATTGTGTTGTTTTTGTCAAATGGACAGAACAGAAAAAGTTGTGTTGGTAAAAAACTTCCAGGCCAATCCAAAAAAGTTATGTGCCGGGGGGCCCCCCGGAGCTGCAAGCCATGGACCATGGCTCCCATGAATTAAGACAGAGGTGACAGTAAAAGCAAGTACAGAAAGCAGAGTAAAGAGTAAGGCACTAAAATAGTAAGAAAACAAAACACTGATCAACACAAGCAGAAAAAGAAATACCTCTCTCCACCCCTCTCTTTTGCAGATGTTCCAGAGCTCAGTGTTGGAGAAGCAGCCTTGCTCCTGCCTACCTCACCAGTGTGTATCCTGCCAGCCTCTGGTTCTAGGGCAAAGTGGACAGAAGGACCAGAAGGAAAGGAAAATGGCAATGGGGATATTCCTCCTTTCTTCTCTCCTTCCTTTACTTTCTTCTTTCTTCCTTTTCTTCGTAAAGTAAAGGAAGGAGAGAAGAAAGGAGGACTGTCCCCAGTGAAAGGGGGAAAAAGAAGAAAGGGGAAATCCCAGTCATTCAGCTAGATCTGCTAGGCCAGGGAAGGGACCCAGGAAACTGGAGCACATTTAAGTTAGGGATGCCTGGAGCATCAGAGACCTCGAAAGGCATTCTGACTCTGACAGAACTATCAGAAAGACTAAATAGTACAATGGTTAAAAATGTGGACTCAGGATCTGGGCTGCCTCAGTTCAAATCCCTATGTTACCACTTGCTGGGTGTGTGACCCACTTAAATTCCTGGTGCTTCAGAGAACTATCAAACTCACTAAAAGTCACTTATACTTCCTGGCCTCTCTACAGCAGGAAACTATATGCTACCATGTACTCCAACCTCACCAAATTCCCCAAAAGAGAAGAAAAACAAGAAGGTATTAGTTAGAAACAGTCTAAGATTTAATTCAAAGTGCCCTTCCATTGTTTAGACTGAGAAGAGATTTTTATTTTACTAAAGAATTTCTCCAGGAAAAAATGTCATGCCCCCAAATTATCCAATCCAACATCCCAGTTAGTAATGCAAACCAAAAGCCCCAAAGGACACCTTACCTTCACCAGCACATAATCCCCAGGATGAGCTCTGACCCTGAGCCCAGAGTTAGTGACATCCTCCATCTCTACATCAGGGAATATCACCTTAAGGTTTCCATCATTCCGGCCACACAGGTCAGTGGGAGAGCGTTTACTGAGCTGCAGAAAGAACAAAGGAGACTGTATAAACCTGTCACAGTCATGAGTTCTTGGAAGGCAGAAATTATGACTTCTCTGTCTCAGACCCCCAAGGATCTTACTCACAGAGCTTTCCTTAACCAAGGAATCTCTGGAGAAGACTACATGTTTACCACTGCTCCACCCAAGGGCAACACATGTCACACAACAGAAATTCAATGAAGCTTTGCTGACTCTACGATAGTGAATGACTCAGTCAATGAGTCTTTGATTACAGAATTCCCTTCAACAGGAAGATGCCTCAAACAGGACTGAAACCAAGGACATATGGGTGATGCACTTCACAAACCAACTTTCACTTTATCCAGTTTCATAGTAATCACTCAGGGATGTTCCAGGGTTGTCTACCTGGGTTACCTGCCCCTAAAGAATAGGTAGACTTGAAGCCAGAGTCTCCATCACAGATGAAGAAGGCAACAGAATAATACAACCAGAATGATGGAATTCATTTCTAGGATATACACAAGTCTTTTTCTTACAGCTATGATGAAGTGACAAGAACCAAATTTATCCTCAAGCCTTAAGTAACCAGGAAACTGGACAAAAGGTATAAAATAACTATTTTCAGCCTGGCCGGGCGTGGCTCAGCAGTTGAGCATCGGCGTAGGATCCAGGCGATCAGGGTTCGATTCCCGGTCAGGGCACATGCCCGAGTTGCGGGCTCGATCCCCAGTTGGGGGCGTGCAGGAGGCAGCGATGACTCTCTCATCATTAATGTTTCTATCTCTCTCTCTTTCCTTTCCTCTCTCTGAAATCAATAAAGATATATTTTTAAAAATAAAAATAAATAAATAAAATATTTTCGGATTTTGGACAACAGAAATCATGTAAGACTATAATTCCCAAAAGAAGGAAAACAATGAGATGAGCCTTCCAGTCACTGCTGCATTTTGCCAGAAGGCACACTCCAGACAGAGTATACAAAGCAAGGAGGGAGATTTCAAGGCAGAGACCCAGAAACAAACACTTTGTGGCTGGCTTCAGACCACACCAGAGCACCACCCAATTAGCTCCACAAATAACACATGCAAAGGGTAAACTGAGACACCAGAGCCCTGCTACAACGAATTCTACTCTGTGGGGTCAGCCCCCTCACTACAGCTCACCTGCTATAGTCACAGCCAGTTCTCACAGTCAGGCTGAAGGTCAATCCCACCCACTGATGTGCCAACAGCAATCAAGGCTCAACTACAACCGGAGGGCACACACAACCCACACAATAGACACCTCTGGGGCACCTGGCCTCCCAGCCAAGGGAATCTGCACCACTGAGCCCCACAGGACACCTACTACATAAGGCCACCGTGACAAGATGGAGAGATGCAGTAGATCTAGAAAAACACACAGGGAGACAGCCAAACACACAGGGAGGACACAAACAAACGTACCCCAAATGAAGGAGCAGGACAAAACTCCAGAAAAAGAACGAAATGAAATGGAAGCAGGCGATCTACCAGATGATGGCAGTGAACGCACGGACACCCGAAATCAAAAGCAACAACTACAACAGCTAAAAATAAAACGCAGGAAATACTTCGGTGTAATCTAACAAAACATGTACAGGACTGTACGTTGACAACTATAAAAACTGAAAAAGGAATGAAAGAAAATCTAAATAAAGGGAGACACACTGCGTTACAAAAAACAAACAGAATATATGTAGATACACATGGTCTCACCCCCTCCACCAGCACCAGCTGGGAACAGCCCACGAACATCTGGTTGGCTTTTGTTGCTTCTTCTCGGAAGACAGTGATAAGTTCCTCCAAACGCCTTAATTTCACCTCTTCCAGGACATCATCCTTCAGCCTGTGATATGCCCGTGTCTTCTATAAAGAAGAAGAAATGGAGGTCACCAAGGACCTACAGAAGCCATCTTGAGGCACAGCAGGGGACCATGTCCATTCCACCTGTAACGTACAGGAAACCCGAGCCACACCGTGGGGGTTCTCTAGTTCTGCGAGCCTTCCAAGAGAAAAAGGTAGCTATGCAGTGAAGTCACCATTTTTGCAAGGGCTAAATTTTAAATTTAGCACATGAAAATCATAGACTCAAAATTGTTCTTGACATTTTTACAGAATGTCCTAACAATAAAGGTTACATTTGTACATATACTAACTCATGTGCCAGGTTACTAAGCCACATGGTTTTTATAAAGTCACAAGATGCAAAGCAGCTTAAATGTTTATCAATAGGTAACTAGTAAAACAAATTATTGTTTATTCACACAACAGAATATTACACAGCTGTTTAAAAGAATGAGATAGCTTTATATATACTGATATAACTGCTCTCCAAAGTATACTTTAATTTTTAAAGATTTTTTTTAATTGACTTTTAGAGAGAGGAAGGGAGAGGGGGAGAGAGAGACATCGATGTGAGAGAGAAACATCGATCCATTGCCTCCTATATGCACCCTGACTGAGGATCAAGCCTGTAACCCGGCATGTGCCCTGACCAGGAATCAAACTGGCAACTTTGTGGTGCACAGGGCCACACCCAACTGAGCCACACCAGCCAGGGCTCCAAAATATACTCTTAACAGAAATAAGCAAGGTACAAATGAACCTGTATAATAACTTTGGGGTAGAAAGAATACATCTAAATATGTTTTAAACACATGAAATATCTCTGGAAGGTTGCAGAAGAAACTGCTAAGAGCAGCTGCCTTCAATGAAGGAACTGAAAAGCTAGGCAACCTGGGAAGAAGTAAGAACTACTCACTGCATATGATTTTGATCTTTTGAATTTTATACCATGAGCATATATTACCTAGTCCAAAAAAAAAAGAAAAGAAAAGTTATCCTTGGCCAGCAAGTGTGGCTCAGTTGGTTGGGCAGCATCCCGGGCACTGAAGGTTGCCAGTTCAATTCCCAGTCAGGGTACATGCCTGGGTTGTGGACTTGATCGCTTGTAGGGGGTGTGCAGGAGGCAGCTGATGGATGTTTCTCGTTCTCCCTCTCCCTTCCTCTCTCTCTAAAAATCAATAAACTATTCTTTCAAAAAAAGAAAATTTATCCTTGTAAAGCCTTTACATTATCCAATACCACGGTATGCACACGTTTATACACACATGCACACACACGATCATAACACAGTGGGAGAACCACTGAGCCAGACAAAAGTATAGAGTAAGAGAAAAATCAACACCCCAAAGTCTGAGCATTCAAATCAGTCTCCCTTTGAGAGAACTACAAAATCCAGAGAGACACATGGAGGATAGGTAGGGATCCTAAAGTAGAATTCTCCCACAGGGTTTACTCTATTCTGTTCTGCCTTACTAACAACAGCTTACCTCCATGGTACACCTACCATTCCAAAGCACTGTTCTAAGTGCTTTATACATATTATCATACTAACCCTCAAAACAACCTGAGGTTGATGCTAATGTTATCCCCATGTCACAAATGAAGAAACAAAGAACCTTTCCCAAGGTCACACAGTTATTAAATGGGAGAAGAGCAATTTAAGTGCTTGCTTTCATCTACTAGGCTACTTGATTAAGTCTCTATAACCTTAGCCCCAACACAGGAATTCGATCCCAAAGTGAATACTCACTTTGCCCAGTGCCCACAGAACATGCTTCCACACACACTGAAAACCCAAATCTAGCATTACAAAGAGTTCCTACGGCATGTTTGTGATGTTTGTGGAAAATAAGCAAAATGGAACCCAACGGCTCCTCCAAAGCTTCATCCCTAAAATAATTCGGTAAGAGACATGAATATACACACTGGCCCACTTATACTGCCTGCAGAACACTAAGCAGGGGGCTTTAAAAGACATGAATAAGCTCGATTGATGGCAGCTGAGTTGACAGTGACTAAGGTCACACGTTCATTCATTCATCGCTCAGCTTTCCTGAGCCCATGGCCACAGAGGCTCCTTAGCCTCCAGCCCAAACACAAGGCAAGTTACTCCCAAGGTGACTATGGGGGTAAAAAATGACCTAGACAATTCATTCCTACCATCAAGAAAAAGGCAGCAGAGCAGGACTATGCCCTCTCCAGGACATACATTGTTCTCCGTTTCCTTCCTTAACTCCTTCTGCATTGTTTACCTGAGAGTCTGTATTATAGGAGAAACTCCAAAGTGGGTATCAGTGGGTTCACTTGCCCTATAAAAATGGAAACTCAAAATCACTGAGGATGGCCTGGGTGCGTGACAAGGAGCCTCTGTAAACAAATTGCATCTGCAGGCCAAAAAAGAAGTTCTGCATGTTGAGAAATGATTTCAGATTTCTTGTGAAGCGAACAATGTTTCTCCCTCTACATTCAAATTCTAAACAACCTAAATGTAATATAACATATTCTAATAAAGAGAAACCTTGGCACAGGTCATTATTTTTCATCTCCAATTGCTGAATTACGTAAAATAGCAGACAGGTGGATTAGAAAAAAGAAATGAATGGTAAGATCCTTGTGGTTTCTCAAGGACTGCCTTGCTCCAACTTCCTTTTCTTCCTAGTTATCTACAACGAACCCCAGACTGGTCAGAAATGATGTCAGTCTCAGCAGAGAAGTAGTCCCTCCCTCTCCCAGAACTCACCTGTCTCATACTGTAGGCAAAGAGGAAGCCCGTGTTGTACTGAACTTCCTGAAGCAAAGTCACTGTCTGGAGGTGATCTTCCTCTGTCTCACCACAAAAGCCAGCAATGAAATCACTGCTGAGACTCACACCTGCGACACACAACAAATGACAAAGGACAGCATATCCTCACTGCTTACTTTCAAGAGAGGCCTTATGCACTTGTAGGACACAGAGCAAGGGATAGCAATTGTAAGGCCTTTCTTGGAGCTATTCAGCCCATGCACTAGTGTAACAGAACAGTCACTGTAGAGCAAGGGGCGATAGGCCTGCTTATCTACAATGTTCCCATGCCAGAGCCCGGCTTCTCAGTCTACATTTCCCTCAGTACTAGAAAAGGTATTTTCACTTCAAATGTGGGATTTAGGAGCACAGTAGGAGCCCACATTTTCAAATTGGTCCTACTTTTACTGGAAAAAACCTTGCAGTGCCCCATACAAATATACTTTTGAAGTTAGTTTAACACAATGTTCATTTAAAATAGTAACAATAACTACTATTTACTGAATACTTACGAAGTCCTATACTCTACTATTTAATTTAACGTATTTAATTATCCCAAAAATCCAATGAGGTGAGGACTATTAACTGCATTTATAGATGAGGAAACTGCAGCACAGAGAACCTCCATACTATCCTGTCCCATCAAAATGAAAGGATTTATGCATAATACAAGTTACAATCATTAGAAATGTGGACAAAATGTAGACACTGCCAACCAAATCTAAACTAAAAGACTACAGAGTAACTGTATTAGGAGGAAAGAAAAAGGGTTAAGATAAATAGGAAAGGAACTACCTCTAGGGTTAAGATAAATAGGAAAGGAACTACCTCTAAGTACATATTTTTAAAGATATCAATTGTCCCCAAATCAGAACTAATTTAGACCTAATGTAACTTTGCCAACTAACAAGAAAAAACAAGGTCTCTCCCATATGTGCAGAAACACAAAAACTGTAGAAAATGTATCTCTTTAGCCTTGAGGCCAGAAGCTGATCTACATTTCTGAATATTTCTAGCAAGACCAGAACATTAAAATATCAGAAAGAAGTAAAAAGAAAGAAAGAGCCCTGGCTGGTGTGGCTCAGCTGGTTGGAGCGTCGTCCCATACACCGAAAGGTCATGTGGTCGATTTCCGGTCAGGGGACATACCTGGGTTACGAGTTCAGTCCCAAGTTGGGGCACATATGAGAGGCAGCTGACTGATGTTTCTCTCTCACATCAATGTTTCTCTTTCTCTCTCTCTCCCCCCCTTCCTCTCAAAAAAGAGAGACACAAATGAAGAGAAGCAAAAGAAGTGTAAAAGGTGTCGCAAGGTACTGCCACAGGTGTTGCCTATATCTGACCAAGACTGTGGTCACTGTAAGGTGGTCAGCAGAATACATTTCTTAACTGTACCTGGAATAGACTCTCTGATATGATGAATTAACTCCACATAAGCTTCTCTTGAATAGCTGCAATATAGACCAAAAAGAAAAGACTTAGATGAACCAATCTTCTTTAAATGATCTAAAAGGATAACACTGTGAACTACCACATGTAATCCCTTCTCACTCACACAGTACAACAGGTTAAAGTATCCAAAAGATCTCTTATGATCCAAATCCTATACTATAATCTAACTTAGGGCCTATGAACTTTTAGTTCAAGAACATAAATTATTTTAAATAGCCTTCTGCATTTAACTAATAATGAAGATAGACTAAACATTCAAAAGGATCTAGGTGACTTTTTATATGCCCTTCTGGTCCCAAGATTATGGCCAGAGGAATATCAAGGTTACCAAGAATAATTTGGAGGTTGCCAAGAATTTGTTTTGAAGTGTTTTCAAGTCTGACTGAGAACTCTGAAATTTGAGGGGGGTGGGGAGGAAAAAAATAAAAATTAAAAGGATTTCTAAAACTCTTTGTCAATGTCAAAAACAGTAGTTCCATATGGCTTGCCATCTGTCACATTCTCCTTTCAATCTTATCTCTGAAACATTTATTATTCCCAAAGTAGGTGAACACATAGAGCTACACTTAAATTCCAAGACCTAAAAAACTTTGTTAAAATCTCAGTGTTCCACATAGTAGGTACATAATAAAAAAAACATGCTAAACAAATGAAATGAGTGACTCAGTCCTTAGTCTATACTTAGTGAACAAAAGCAAATTACAGTGTCCATAGGTTTATTATGTGCGACACACTAAGCTAGGATTTTAGACACTGTTTGCTCCTAAAGGAGACATTGAAAAGTGTGGGATACTCCCTGCCCAAGCAAGTCTGACCCTCTCCTCATGGCTTCCAATACACGGCTACTTCCACTCTGGGCTGGTAGGTGGATCTGTTTACAGATGTTGTCTCTCTCATGAATCAGCTGCAGAACCTGATAAAATAGAACACATTAAAGACCATCGGAGTCTCACCAAAGCATTCTGCAGAAAGGAATGCCACCCCCACTGTTCTCTGCCAAAGTTAATTTTCAAGTAATTAAGAGGTTGATTAAACCAAACACATGAATTACCTAAATGCTTTACTTTTGCTCAAATCATGTTCTGTCTGTCCCAGAAAGAAATGCTTAAGGATACTAATTCAGTTTGGCACCTTTACCTCATCAGGAAAATCCTTGGGGTGGGGAGAGGTAAAACGAATCCTCATTTCAGGATCTATTCTGGAGACCTGATCCAGAAGGTAAGCAAAACGAAGGCCCCCTTGCTTGGTTTTATAGTTGGTGGAGAAGCCACGGCTGAGGTTGGTGGGCACTGCATTGTTGAACTGGACTTCTGAATTGTCCCGATAACTATTAACATTCTGGCCAAGTAGTGTCACTTCTTTCAGCCCCTGAAAAGGCGGAAATAAATATTTTGAAAGCAATTTAAAAACTAGTTTGGTAGCTTCATGCCAAATCACTAATTAGCTGAACCTACCAAGAGCCATTCATAAACGTGTTCTGTCTATAACCCAATAATTTCACGCTTGGGCATCTTGTGTGAAGACTTAACTTCAGAATAAAACCTTATGTAAACATTAATCTACAAAGTACTTTTTAGAGTAGCAAAAAACTGGATGCAAACTCAATGTTCAGTAATGGTAAATTCATAACACCATAAATCAAATTAGGACACCATTCTGTCAGATGAATGTTATATAAACATTGCCTATGAAGTATTCCTGCCAAAAATATTAAGCCTAAATTGAATCAAGCTTTACACCTAACTTCCAGTTTACCAGAATTCAGGGGAATAGTTTAATTGAGGAAGCAATGAAACAAATCCAGATGTGCCTGAGCTCTTCAAAAAATAATGCATCATTTAAAGCAATTTTTCCAAGTCAGTGGGCTTTTGAATTCACTAAGATCCACTTTAATGTTAAGTTCCTTTTGTTATATACAAATACCTTAGAAAGGTTAGGGAGTTTTTGCCATCACCTCAGTCTATTTAAACAGACTATCTCTATCCTGAGAGTTTTGGTACTGTGAGGGAGCTGGAAGGGGAGAGGAAGGAGACAACTTTAGACCAGGAAGCACTTGGGTAGGGTATAGGAATACCTCACAGCACCTGTGTGAGCAGCCAGGGGCCAAACTAGGAAAACTGAGAATCTGTGATAGGGTGAAAAGAGAGTAGCCAAGAAAGTAAGGAAACAGGGAGAGTCTAGCAGAAGAAAAGTCCCACATTCCCACCTACTGTCCTATTCTGCACAGCTGGAAGATTTGAGCCTAGGATTAAGGAGAGACCTCCCCAAGGGCTGAGGGGTCAGCTCCCATAAGGAGGAAGGCAGCAGGTGTCTCCCGTCTAGCCTCAGATCTGATTCACTAGCCTCATCTAGTCTCTGCAAGCTGGCCCAGAGAAAACATTTGAACTACCGTATCCTTCCAAAAGCAATCCTTCCAATCACCTGACAAGAAAGGCATTATTTTATTCTTTTTCATAGATGGGGAAACTGTGTTTCAAAGAAGGCAGTTAAATGAACAGTGCCAGGGCACCAAGCCAGAGACACTGGAGCCAGAATACACACTCACTCATCTGATTCTAAATTCATGCTCTCGTGTTATTTTCCCCTTTCACAGACCAGGCAGCTGTGTTTCAAAGAAGGTAGTTAAGTGACCAGTGCCAGGAAACCAAGCCAGAGATGGTGGAGCCAGAATTCGCACTCTGTCCCCTGACTCTAAACCCATGCTCTCATGCTCTCTCCATTCTACTGTGTTGCCTCCTAAGCAAACTTCACAGCAGAGCTGCTGTAATTTGTGAGCAGCAAACCAAAGATGTACACCTAGGTATTTCTTTCTGGCAGGTGTGGTTCTAAACCTGTGCGGCTTAGAGATGGCACAGGCTGCAAAACTAGAAAGCTGTTCTCATCCTCCCACAAAAACACTCAGTAAGAAAACCTGGAGAACTTTTCACCTGCTCAGAAAGCTTTCTCACTTCCTCCAGAATGGAGGCAACAGGCCGACTCCTCTCTCGGCCACGCGTAAAAGGAACAATGCAGTAGCTGCACATGTTGTCACAGCCTCTCATGATAGACCTGGGGGGAAAGCAACAAAACTTAGTAACAGCAGCAGGATGTCTTAGCCTAACCCAAGGAGCAGGTCACAGCGCTCTTGGCATTATCCTTCGGCTCTAAATTCTCTTGGCAATGTGCTCACACCAGATCAATCTGAAATCTAAGAAGAACTAAAGCATGAAATTTTTTTCCCTTTATAAACTAGTCTTTAGCCCCAGGACATGACCCAGCCATAACTGGTGGATCGGGTGGTTACCGAGGGGCCAGCGGTAAAGGAAAGGGGCGCGGGCATTCCAGGCCTGGGCTTCCACTGTTCATGTTTGCACACTGTGTGAACTTTTCACATCCACCCAGGGAGATAAACAAATATCATGAAGTGTACTCAAGGAGCGGAGACAATGGACTTAAAATACAAGGACCTGCAGCCCTGGCCAAGGAGCTCAGCTGCATGGAGCGCTATCTCATACACCAAAAGGCTGTGGGTTTGAGCTCCAATCAAGGCGTGTGCAAGAGGCAAATGATCAATGTTTCTCTCTCTCCCTCTCTAAAAAAATCAATAAAAACATATCTTCGGGTGAGAATTAAAAATAAAATAAAATGCAGGGGTCTGCATTTCTCACATTCCTGCTCCAAATACGAGGTATCTCATTTAAGTCACTTTCTTTCATTTGCATCCTATATACAAAAGCCTCAATTTGTTATAAGGAACTAATTATGGATAGATATGTAGTAAAGACGTTCACTGAGAATTGCTAAATAAATGTTAACTATTATTTTTATTAAGCATTCTAACAACAGAGTATTGACTAGCCATTAAAATGATAAAGGTTGGCAAATTTTTTCTGTAAAAAATGAAACAGTAAATATTTTAGGCTTTGCAGACCATACAATCTGTCACAACTACTCAATTCTGCTATTGAGTGGTGAAAGCAGCCACAGACATTTGTAAACAAATGGGCACAGTTGTATTTCAATAAAACTTTATTTACTAGAACAGGCTGTAAGCCAATTTGCCAATCTATTATAGAAAATTTAATGACATAAAATGTTCACCATTTTAAATAAGAAAAGGTTATAAAACCAAGTACACCAAGAGCTTTTTTTATATATATAAATAAACACATACATAAAGCATATACACATAAGCACAAAGGAAAGGACAGCAATGATATCCAAAATGATAATAGTGTTTATCATTAGGTGGTAGAGTAACAGGTAATTCTTACTCTCCTCTTTATGTTTTTCTACCTTTTCTACATATTCTCCAACAAATATAAACTATTTTGTCAACTACTTTTTTTAACTTAAAAGACTGGGGGAGAGAAAAAAAGAATCAGGAAAGCCTAAGATATTTTCTTAAGGGAAAAAATAAAACTATAGAGGCAGGGTAAGAAAGACCTCATTTTATGTATATGAATGCATATGCAAAAAACACTTCTCATAGGATTATACAAGAAACAATTAACACACCACATCTGAGAGGTGGCCTAGGAGACTGAGAATGATAGGTGTGAGGGAGTCTTATATACCATTTTTTGTCTTTTGTACTGTGTGCATGTATTAACTTTTTAATGTAATAACATTAACATGTTATTTTAAAAATGACAAAGAAGTTTACTCCCTGTGTCTTGGTCAGTGACTCACTCACACGAAGGCAGAAGTAGCACTGGGGCTCGTCTGGACTGGCAAGACATCAGCATAGGTCTCATCCAGAGACAGCAGCACGTTGGCAGCTTGCTGGCCTGACTCAGCAACAGCCAGCAGCCGAGGAAGGTCCCGATACGCATCTGGTCCAGCCAAAATATCCACCATTTTTTCCCTATTGAGGATCTCCTCCTTCAGTCTCTCAGCCATGCAACCTGGGAGGGAAAAGTAATAAGCACCTGTTCCCAAATTAATCAGGTCTCAGGGCTTTTCAGTACACATTATCTCCAGCTTGATCGGAGACCAGAGCACAGAAACTTCTCTCAAGACTTTTGCATCATCCCTCAAATTTCCCCAAACTCTTCCACAGCACTGGAACTTGCACCTTCCTACACATACAAGAAAACCACAGGGGAAGGGCTCAAGAGCAATTCAATTAAATGCCCAGAAAAAATTAAACCATCATCCAAATAACCTTTCTAGACATGAACTACCTTTTTCCCATTGAAAATTACTTGTTGCTACAAATAAAAATATTTTGCATCAGAAATTTATTTTTAAAAAGAAAACTTAATAGCCCGGCCAGCATGGCTCAGTGGTTGAGCACTGACCTACGAGCCAAGTCATGGTTCAATTCTTGGTCAGGGCACATGCCCAGGTCTCAAGCTTGATCCCCAGCTGGGGGTGTGTAGGGAGGCAACCAATCAATGACTTCCTCTCATCATTAATGTTTCTATCTCTCTCTCCCCATCTCCCTTCCTCTGTCTGAAATCAATAAAAACGTATTTTTTAAAAATAAAACTTAATATACACTTATATCCCTTTTATTCCTCTTCTTGCACATAATACTTGCTAAAACCTGTAAGAAATGAGCCCGGCCGGGCGTGGCTCAGTGGTTGAGTGTCGACATGGGATCCAGGCGATCGGGGTTCAATTCCCGGTTAGGGCACATGCCCAGGTTGTGGTCTAAGCAGCCCCATCAATGACTCCCTCATCTTTGATGTTTCTCTCTCTCTCTCTCCCTCTCCCTTCCTCTCTCTGAAATCAGTAGACATATTAAAAAAAAAAAAAATTTTTCAGCTAATCCTTCCATCTTCCTGTATCATTTACTACATTAATCTGTGTAACAAGGTATGTTCTGTGTTTTGAACCATCATCAAGAGGAATTAATTTATTCTACAAGGGACAGTCTGTTATAAGGTTAAATATATTAACTAAATTCTAGAAATAAGAGGGTACAGGATATTTATTTTTGAAATATGCTTCCCAGCTATCTAGATCAGAGCTGTCCAACAGAACTTCTAGGATGATAGAAATGTTCTTTATCTGTGCTGTTCAAACCAGTAGCCACTAGTCAAGGGTTGCTACTGAGCAGTCACTATGTGGCTAGTGAGACTAAAGAAAAAGAAGTAAATTGTTAGTATTATTTGTTTAATTAAATTTAAATAACCACATGTGTCTACTGAACATATTGGTCAGTACAGATCTAGATCTTCACTAGGGCACACTTCAGGAGTCAAGATGAAACACCCCTATACTATAAATTTATGCTTGCTGCCCCCTTAGACTCCAAACGCTCTCCTATCCATAACTCTGCCACCATGAGCCACATTAGACTCCAGGAAGGATAAACGACTTTCTGGGTACCTATTACTTCAAGGTACTAAAAAAGCCCTTTTATGAGCTTTATCTCATTTAATCCTACAGCCTCTGACATTAAGTACAAGATTTGCACGGGGTATATAAGATTTCTTCACACACTGGGAATCTGGCCTCTAGGGGAAACCCTAGCACATAAAGCTCCATGGAGCTCTGGCTGATGTGGCTCAGTTGGCTGAGCGTCATCCCATATACCAAAAGGTTGCCGGTTCAATTCCGTCAAGGCACATACCCAGGTTGTGGGTTTGATCCCCAGTCGGGGTGCATACAGGACACAACTAATTGATGTTTCTTTCTCACATCAATTTTTCTCTCTCTCTCCCTTTCCCTCTCTAAAAAAAAAAAAATCAATAAAAACATATTTTTAAAAACTCTGCATGGAGCCAGTCTCAAAACCCACAAAATCTGCAAGTTACCAAATACCTAGAATCCCAATCTTCAGAGGTACTCGGGAACGAAGCCGTTTTGTCTTCAGGGCTTTAAGCTGATGTAAACGATTCCAGATGGTCTGTTCAGCCTTCTCCCTACAGAGATCAAGAGGTAGACCTGAACCTGCAAATAAACTACAAAGCAATCTAAAAGAGTAGGACAATGGGAATAAAATAAAAACCTTCAACTAAATGAATACCTAGCCCTAAGGCTCAGGGAAGGTAGGCAGGGAGCCCACTGAAGAAGCACCACTTGCTATAACATTCCTAGAATGATGCCCTTCCTGCCCATCTCCAAATCTTGACAAGCCTTTAAGTCAAACTCAAAAACAATCTACTTCACAAAGCCTTCCCCAACTCTACTGTTAGAGAGTTATTCTCCTTCCTCTTAACTACATAGCATTTTAACTCTGCTTCCTCTGTACTTAGCACTTATCCTTTTCATTGTTTGATTCTTTTACCTAGTGCTTTCACCAGGTCTTAGAGCTATCTGTGTATCTGTCTTAGTTCCTATATCAGGCTAAGCTCCTTAAACCAGGCTCCATGAAAAAAGGGTTCATTTTTTAATCTCCCAAAGCACCTAGTTCTGTGTCTTGCAGCAGAGACCCTCGGAACAAAAATGTTGAATTAATTACTTGATAGTACAGCCAACTGAGGAAACATTAACATGCCTTGTACATAGAAACAAAGTATGAAAGAGGTTATGTTCACCTCTGATAGATGCCACTCATCTCTGTTCAGAAGAACTCTGTCCCCCAGCCACTGACTGCATCCTAGCCCTTAGGATATGAACATCATCATAAACATGTGCCATTCGCTATAAGAAAAACCTTAGGAAAAGTTGGGTGACTCAGCACACTCTCAGTTTCCTCATCTATACGATGGGTTTGATGACATCACCTACCCCATAGAGTTGATGTGAGAATTAAATTACCTAGTGCATATAGAGTGTTCAGCATAGGACGTGACAAACAGCACATGCTCAGCAAATGTCAACCAGTTCTATCATTACTGTCTCCATTGCATAAAATCGCAAATCCAGCCCAGCCAGAGTTGCTCAGTGGGTTGAGCATTGTCCCATGAACCGAAAGGTCACAGGTTCGATTCCTGGTCAGGGCACGTGCCCGGGTTTTGGACTCAATCCCCAGTAGGGTGTGCAGGAGGCAGCCAATCGATGTTTCTCTTTCTCTGTCCCCCTCCCTTCCTCTCTATCTAAAATCAATAAAAACTTTTTTTTTAATTACAAATCCATTGGCTCATCTCCATAGGTCAGCCAGCCTGGCACTATTAGCTCTAGCGTTTTATATAAGATACATTCACTCTCTAGATAAAGAACAAATTCCCACCTGATAGAGCATGTGACAAGGAGGATCACATCAGCCTGAGTGGAGAGCAAGAAATAAAAAGAAAATTATGAAATTAGCCTTGTACAATCACTGCCCATGGCCCTTTATTCTTTTTTATTGTGGAAAGACATACATAACATTTACCATTTTAACCAATTTTAAGTATACAATTCCTTAGCATTAAATACATTCACATTGTTGTGCAACCATCACCACCATCAACCTTCCAGAACTATTTCATCTTCTCCAACTAAAACTCTGTACCCATTAAACACTAATTCCCATCCCATCCCTGTCCTTGCAGTCCATTTTTAACTTAGTTCCTCGCCTGGAAGTAACCACAACCATAAAAATTTCAAAACTAATGAAACAGCACTGGCTGGCATGGCTCAGTGGTTAGAGTGTCAGCCTGGGCACCAGAGGATTTTGGGTTCAATTCCCAATCAAGGGCACCTACCTGGGTTGCAGGTTCAATCCCTGCCCCCAAGTAGGGGTCTGTGGGGGAGGCAACCAATCAATGTGTCTCTCTCACATCAATGTTTCTCTCTTCTCTCTCTATCTCTCCCGCACCCCTCCCTTCCCCTCTCTCTAAAAATCAATGGGAGCCCGGCCGGGTGTGGCTCAGCAGTTGAGCGTCGACCTAGGATCCAGGTGATGAGGGTTCGATTCTTGGTCAGGGTACATGCCCAGGTTGCGGCCTCGGGATTTCGGGCTCGATCCCCAGTCGGGGGCATGCAGGAGGCAGCCAATCAATGACTCTCTCATCATTGATGTTTCTCTCTCTCTCCCTCTCCTTTCCTCTCTCTGAAATCAATAAAGATATTTTTTTTTTAAAAATAAAAATAAATAAAAACCAACGGGGAAAAAATAATAATGATGAAACAAATGTATGCCTTGGTCCCATGCTACACACTTTACACAAAGGAACTCACTCTTGCCAGACTAGACCCTGTTGCTGAAACTGCATCTAAGAACTGGCACAAAAGCAGTCTCACCCAGGCCCAGGAAACACAGGGAAACAGGAAATTTGTGTACCTCTTGAAGATTATTGGTCCGCAGGTAGCCACTCTTCTGTAAGATAGACCAGGCTATCTCTGTGTCATTCACATTCATCTGGCAGCCATAGGTCTCAAGGTAGACTGGAAGGAGAGGGAGATTCCATGGTAGGCAGACAAAAAGGGATCACATGTCTCAAAGGTCTCCTTGCCAAATGCCCCAAAAATACTTGATGAAACTGGTTATCCACTAAGTTCTCTGTTGCCTCAATTCTCAGAAACCATTAATTGCTAGATGTACCACCAAATTAATGACAGCCTTTCAGAACAAAAGAAATACTACATTATATACACACACCCATTATAAGCCGTATCTCTTAAAATATGGGGAAAACATGCACCTAAAAATCAAGGAAATATGGTTATAAAAACAATTAGAAAAGGAAGACTAGCTGACAGCACTGATTATCAACCCAGAGAAAACATAAATTTAAATCCATATGTAGCCCTGGCCAGGTAGCTCAGTTGGTTAGAGTATCATCCAGATACTACAAGGTTGTGAGTTTGATCCCTGGTCACGGCACATACAAGAATCAACCAATGAGCCCAGCAGGGCGTGGCTCAGTGGTTGAGCTTCAACCTAGGATCCAAGAGATCTCGGTTCGATTCCCAGTCAGGGCACATGCCCGTGTTGTGGGCTCGATCCCCAGTCAGGGGTGTGCAGGAGGCAGCTGATCAATGACGACTCTCTCATCATTGATGTTTCTATCTCTTCCTCTCCCTCTCCCTTCCTCTCTCTGAAATCAATAAGGATATATTTTTTAAAAAATTTTAATAAAAAAAAAAAGAATTAACCAATGAGTGCATAACTAAGTGGAACAACAAATCGATGTCTTTCTCTCTCTCTCTCAAAAATCAATAAATAATTAAATTAAACAAATAATGAGGTTCTCTAACCTCTGGAGGTAGTCTCAGTGGTGAGAGAGTACATAAAGCCACAAAATAAAGATGAGGCAACTTCCTACAGTAACTTCAAACATCTTAAATAAAAGCAAGCATGGTTTTAATGACATAAAACACATTTGCACAAAGTTTTAAGAATATCAACTTCACACTCAGGCAAGCCCCTTCAAATTAAATTCCTATATCAACCCCTGCCCCCACTGGCAGACCCAAATAAATTCCAAATAAAGTTAAAAGTTGAATGACAGGATTATATGAAAATCAACAGAAAATAGCAGTAATTTTTTAAAGGAGGAAGGGGGGGGGGAGGCAGATAGATCAGGATTTTTTAAAAATTTTCCTTGGCTTACTTTCCTTGTCTAAAAAAAGAACACACCAATATTTATGTCAGAGAGGGACTGAAAGAAACAACAAATTACAAAAAACTGCAAAATAACTAACAGGGGTCACAAGGTGTACATACTCCATGACTTACTAAATCAATTCCTAAAGATTCATTCTGCAAAAAAAAATTTAACAGAATCAGTATCTATCTATCTCCATCTCTATCAGAGATAGAAATAGAAAGACATATAGGTGTAGATGCAGATGAGACACTTAAAGTATTATTTAAAATATAAAAATTTTTTAAACAACCTAATGTCCAACTATAGGGGAAAGGTTGAAAAACATCACAGTAAGCACAATGTGATATTTTGTACCAATTTTTTTTAATATGTTTTTATTGATTTTAGAGAGAGAATAAGAGGGAGATAGAAGCATGAATAAGCTGCCTCCTGCACGCCCCCTACTGGGGACTGAGCCCACAACTGGGGCTTGTGCCCTGACCAGGAATCGAATGGGTGACCTCTTGGTGCATGTACTACGTTCAACCACCAAGCCACACCAGTCACGCTGTACCAATTTTAAAAATTTTAATTATAAATAATGTAGTATTTAGGAAAATGTTAAATAAAAACAAGTTACAAATAATTTTCACCTTATCATTGCAACCAAATCTTTAACAATTATAAAGGGAAATAGTTTTTTTAAACAGGGCAAAGGGGGAAAGGTCTGATTGTCCCTTAATTTCTCTTCAAACTTTTCTTAAGGCATTTAAGTGATTGCATAATGTTTCTAAGAAAACCTCTGCCTAAACATAAAGAGTGAATTTCTACAGCACCAATTGTGAAAGCTGTCTTATAACTTAAGACAATCTAAAAATTAGAACAGAAATTACAGGGTTTCCAAAGGTAACCAAGGAGAGGACTACCCAGGACTCTACCCTCCAGATGCATGTACCAACACTGTAAGTTCCTTATTTTAATGTTACTTGGTGGAGTTTGATGAGTCCATAACTTAGCAAGCCTTCCCACACTGTTAACCCTCCAAAGCCAGGTCTGTAATAAAATAAAGATTAAGAATCAGGCCATGGATGCTGGGAAACACAAAGCAGAAAGCCCAAAGACGAAAAGTAAAACCAACCTTTTCTCTGCCTTCCTAAAAGTTCATCAACTGTGATATATGGAGGTGGGTCCACCACATCTGAAGAAGACAGTTTCTCTTGAGGAACTGAAGCACTTCTTAAAAAATGCTGAAAAGTCGGTCCAGTGGCCAGCCTGGAGCTGAAATCCTTCCGAACTCCATCTTCCTGCTGCCCCTCTGGACTGGGACATGTGGTGCTAGAGAAACTGCTGTGTGCCCTGCAGGTCCCAAGCAGCAGCCAGGACACAGAGGCCAAGGACCCCCACCCCAGACACCTCTGTGTTTGGAGGATACACTGTAAATGATGCATGGCACCAAAACAGCCCAAAATCTGCAAAAAAAAATAACAGACATCATCAACATTTCTTGAACACTATGTACAGGGTACCACTCTAAGTACTTCAAGTGTATTAATACATTTAATCCTCACAAAAACTCAAGAAGATGATACTTTTAACAATAGTACCCCTATTTTTACAGGTAAAAAAACTGAGGCAACTTGCCCAAGATCACACAAAGGAGTGCCAGAGATGAGATGCAAATCCAGACAGTGTGTTATCAAAACAAAGGGGTGGTAGAGAAGAGATGAGAAGCCCTGACAAAATAAAGTAGCACCCTGTACAGGAACAATTCCAAAGGCTTTAAGAGTATTAACTCATCAAATCTTCACAGCAATCCTAAGCAACATAGGCAGCAGACACTATTATTATGTCATGGAGAGATGAGGAAAGAAACACAAAAGGCTCAGGAACTTATCTAAGCTCCCCCAGCCAGTAAGCAGCAGAGCTGGCCACTTGATAACTGCCTCCCAATACTGTGAAAACCACTTACTCACTGAGGGCATCTTCCTTTGAGTTCCTTCAAAAGGAATATATCTAACATGGGGCACCATATGCCTGATCAGTGACTCCTTCTACCCTCCATGAGTCTCAAATTACTGCCTTCAAACTTCCCACCCATGGCTGGAGGGATGGAAAATGGCACAACCTTTACAGGGGGCAATGTGCCACTTTCCATCAAAATTACACACACACACAAACCCTTTGACCAAGTAGTTCTATTCCTAAATATTTATCCTACAGATACACTCTTACATGTACAAAATGACCTACATATAAGGATATTTGTTGCAGTAGCGTTTCTAACAGCAAAAGAATTGAAGAGATCTAAATATCATCAATAGGGGACTAGTTAAGTAAATCATGGTACATCCATACAGTGGAATAAGATATGACTGTTAGAAAGTGAGCTAAATCTATACATGACAAAAGCAAGAAAGCAGCCCTGGCCTGTGTAACTCAGCTGTTGGGAGTGTTGTCCTGTATACCAAAAGGTTGTGGGTTCAATTCCTGGTCAGGGCACATACCTAAGTTGTGAGTTTGGTCCCCAGTCACGGTGCATACAAGAGACAATCGATGTTTCACTCTCACATCTATGTCTCTCTCTCTCTCTTCCTCTCCCTCTAAAAAAAACAATTTGAAAAAAACAAGGAAGCAAAGTGCTAGAAACTACCTACAGTAGGCTACACTTGAATCTGTGGGGGAAGGCAGAAACATTAAGGAACATATCTGTAAGTGCACACAGAATCTAGAATGCAAAAGAAACAATGACTGCCTCCCAAGAATAAACCCAGGTGGCTCAAAGTACAAGATTTGGAGACATACTTTACACCATATATTCTTAATGGACTGCCTCACTCCAGCCATATCAGACATCTTTATACTGATCTTCACTAGTTCTCTAGGCTTTTACACATGCTCTTCTCTCTGGCTGATATATCTTCTCTCTACTGACTTGGCCAACTCCTATGCCACTTTTTAGGTCTCTGCTTCCTCCTGGAAGCCTGTCCTGGCAACCACCCCCAAAGTCTAGGTTGGGGGTCCTCCTCTAGGTCCCCAAAGCCTCCTTATAACACTCTATCACAAGAGTCATCACATTTTGCTATTACTTACTACTTATGCTTTGCCATCTCTTATAAGCTGGGAGGTATCTGAAAGCAGAAAACCAATGTTATTCATATCTACAGCAGGTGCTGCACATGCAAAATGAGCAGATGTGGCCTGTTACCTCTCCAAGCTGATCTGCTGTATATGCTACCAGTACTTTGGGCAGGAGCAGTGCTAACCTACTTTCAAGTGTCAGAGAACAGCAGATGTTTACTGTGAACTTTAAACTCACCAATATCTGCCCTTACTAGTTGTGTGACCTTGGGCAAGTCAAATTCCTGCCTCTGAGCTGTAAAATAAGGATAAAAGTAGTACCTACCTCCCAGAGATGTTGTGAGAACTAAAGATTTTAAAAACCCAACTTAGCATAGTCAGTTTTCAGTAACTTCACATGTGCAGCCCACATCTCCTCTCATGGTGGGTATAGAGCATTGTGGTTAAGATTCTATAGTTAAGGTCTGACCCAACTGCTCCCTGGCCAGGTAACTTTGGGCACCTGGGAGCTTCCACTTCTTCATGTGTTAAATAAGGATAACAGTACCTACCTCTATGTCTGCTGTGAGGATCAAATACGATAATACAAATAAAATGCTTGCATAGCACAATGTGAGGGCCTCTGTGGGGGCTCAGAAATTAATTGGTAGTGGGCAAAAAACATGAGACAACAGCCTCATCTCGGTATAAACATGAACAATAAAGCATCCCAAACACCTTATTGGGTGGTTACAATGTGGTGCTAAACGTGTCCCGTTGATCGGCGTATTTCATCTTCACAGCAACTCTGTGAGGAAGGCTCTAATATCACCCCCACTTCACAGACGACAAAACTAAGGCTCGGGGTGAAGACGGGTGACCTGCTTGACGTCACAAGCGAGTCGGCAGCGGGACTTGGGCGCAAACCCCAACAGTCTGACACCAGGGTCTGCGCGGTGACCACCAAGCCATCCTCCCCTGGACCACCGCGCACGTCCGGGCCTCCACCGCCCCTCCGGCCCCTGCTCGGACCCTGGGCGACGCGCAGGCCCCTCCCGCGACACGCCGCTCACCTCCCGCAGCTCGGGCGCCTGGCGTCACGCAGCGAAAGCTCCTCCCAGCCTCACCGGCTGCCCTCCCAGCTGTCCGCAGCTGCGCCGGCGCACGCTGTGCGACTTCCGTTCCGCTGCGACTTCCGTCCGGGTGGATCCAACGGAAGTGCCTTCTCCGTAGGGTCCGGGTGGATCCAGGCTCCAGGCTTTGAAAAACTTCCACTGCTCGGTAAACCGTACGGTACCCCGTAGCCCGCGTGTGACAACGGAGCAATTGAAGTGTGGTGAGTGTGAGTTAAACGCGCCCTAAATGTGAAATGCACACTGGATGTCGAAGAAAGAATGCAGCAAGTCTCATCAATAATTTTTTTATTGATTACTTGTTAAAGTAATATTAGAGATATATTGGATTAAATATATTATTTAAATTAGTTTCACCTGTTTCTCTTTCCCTTTTAAGGTGGCTACTGGGAAATTTTAAATTACATACGTGGCTCGCTTTCTGTTTCCATTGGACAGCGCTGCGCCGTAGGTTAAAGACTTCCCGATTCAAGTCTCCAGCCTGCACCCCAATGGAGTACAGATCCATACACAGTTCAGGACCTAAGTGGCACCGGTCTAATGACCATCTCTAACTTTATACAGAACCCTTCATTTCCACACACATCCTCACCCAAAACCTGCTCCTGCCCAATCTGACCGGTCTCAATCTTGTTCACTGCAATATCCTCATGCTCCAGCCCAGAGTCTGGTTCATAGAAGGGCTTGTGAAATATTTTTTGAATGAGTAAGTGATTGTTTCATGTTTTCACTTGGGTTCCCCAGAAGCAGACCCTGAGACACAGATTTGAGTGCATATAGGTGATCTGAGGAAACACTGATGGAGTAGTCAGGGAATGAGACAGGAAAGGGAAGATGGCCAATAAAGAGTATGTTATCAAGCCAGTTACCATAATGGGCACCTGGGTCTTAATTCTGTTGGGGAGCTCTGGGAAACACTGTAAAACAGACACTTCATGATTATTTCACCCAAGGAGAGAGGAAGCTGGAGTAGTTATGTACTAGCAGTCATGGAAAGATGCTCCTACATGTGTTAATTCCTCAGTGCTTTTGCCCTGCCTGTGCAGGGAGGTTGTGGTTGGGAGAAAGCCCTCTGTCAATAAGACGCAGACACTGGCCCCAGCACTCTGAATTAGTAAGGCTCTGGGGCCCTGACAGCCTCTGCTGCAACTGACCTCTCTGGCTCCTCATTAGAACTTTGAGGTTATTATTTAGGCAAAAAAACTGAAAATAACAAAAGGTAGTCATGTCCTGAAACTCACACAACTAGTGCATGGCAAAACAGGGATCCACCCACAAGCCAATCTGCTCCCGAAGCACTATTCTTACTAATTCAAAGTCAGACTGGTTGGGTTCCCATTGAGGCTGTGATGCTTACTTTTATAGCCATGGTCGTTAGTTAGCCCTGCTGACTCCCAGTTTCATTGCTTATAAAGTGACTACTGTGTGGCGGATACCCTGCATGGGGAGCAGAAGGATGTCAGGAGAGCATTTAGGGAGCTGTGGCAGTTGTCTAGAGTGTGGAGTCCTGGACCAGTATGGTGCAGTGAGGATGATGGAAACAAATCTGTATTTCAGGAGTTTGAGCATACTGCAAAAGTTTAATGGGGTGCGGTGGGGGTTGGGTGGAGGGGGGCAAAAAGGGAGAAAATTGGAGACATTTGTAAGACTGTCAACAATAAAATAAAATAAAATTTTTTAAGTTTATACTGTGTCCTTAGATGATGGCTAGGTGCCAATTCAGTCGAATATACAAAGGCAAACACAGGCCAAGAACTGTATTATGGTTCTTGTTTTCTACTGTGGTTCTCCAGATAATTTAGGATGTGATCTGATCATTTGGGGGAATTATCAGCACCATCAAAGTACAAAATTTCAGAATTCCTCCCGGAAAACTCTTAAACTCTAGAGACAAGTTCCTGGATACTCTGGGACCTAAATATTCAAGTTTACTGTCAAATTTTTTACTGCACAGGGAAGATTTGGCCATGGGGAAGCCCCATCATGGTGGCAGCACCTACACCCCAACAGAAGTTATGTTGAGGGGGTTAGCCTCCCACTCACCACCGTGAGGGAAGAAGACATTTCTTTTCCTTCCGTGGTGGCCCCCAAGCACAGACCCCGTCCTTCCAGGCACAGCAATTCCCTGTTTCAGCTCCTACTTATTATTTTATCGTGGCCCTTCCCTCTTTATTCTCAGTCTTGTCTTCTTAGAATCACAGAAAGGAATTCTAGAGCTGGAAGGAAGCCACTTTTAGGGCTTCCAGTGTGGACGTCAGGGAAGAGTTAGGATTTGAACCCAGGTGTCCTGACCTCTTAGAACTGTGCTCTTTTGAATCTGGACCTTCCCCTAGCAGCCCCATTGGAAGGTGTCACCTTCTCCCTTTATGGTCAGAGCGGGAGGCCACTGATCAGAGGATGTTAGAGCTACACTTTACCAGTTCTTTTTTTTTTTTTTTAATATATATCTTCATTGCTTTTCAGAGAGAGGAAGGGAGAGGTAGAGAGAGATAGAAACATCCATGATGGGAGAGAATCATTGATCGGCTACCTCCTGCATGCCCCTGACCGGGAATCAAGCCTGCAACCTGAGCATGTGCCCCGACCCGGAATCGAGCCCACAACCCGGGCATGTGCCCTGACTGGGAATCAAACCGCGATCTCCTGGATCCTAGGTTGATGCTCTGCCGCTGAGCCACGCCCGGCCGGGCTACCAGTTCTAATTACCCATGGGGCAAAGCTGGCAGCATGAGGGATGTTCTCTGGTGCCTGTTACGCTGCCCCCACCTACACACACGCACTCAACAGTCATTCCCAACATTCCTACTATCCAGCCCACATGGGGGCCAGGGACCACTTTCCACACATACACACACCCCATTACCCACCCCATTCCAACCACAAGGGTCCACTTCCAGTTGCCATGTTGTGGAGTCTTGTACAGTGTTGTGCTTAAGCAACGAAGGTGATGAAAACAAACCCTTCACCAGGTGTTTGGGAGCGCCATGTTCCATCCCACCTTGGGATCTGTCACCTGGGATACTTTTACCCCTTCCACCTGACTAACTCCTACTGGTCAGTGATCGTTCTAATTGCTACTGGGCAATTACTACTCCCCTCCTCCTTCCCCACTGATGTCAGGCTCAGCCACATGACTTGTTTTGGCTTCAGTTTCCTCATGTGGAGGTTTGATTAGGACTGCTTAGCCTACTACAATAGTGTCTAGCCATATGTGGCTATTGAGCACTTGAGATGCAGCTAGTGTGAATGAGGAACTGAATTTAATTTAAATTAATGTTAATATGAAAACTGATACTCGGTTTAGTTATTGGATAACTTTGAAACTAGTTAGATATGTGAATCTACATTTTTAAACTGTAAATTTTATGAAATCTAAATACAAATAAAGTATTTGTTATGAAAATTTGGCATCTAGAGATGTGTAGGTGTAAAATATACACCAGATTCCAAAGACTTAACATGAGAAAAAGAATGTAAAACACTTCATTAATAAATTTTTATATTATGTGTTTAAGTGATAATACTTTGGATCTATTGGGTTAAATTAAATATATTATTAAACATTTTTTCATCTTTTTTTTACTTTTTTTAGCACTAGAAAACTTGCAATTACATATATGGCTCACATTGTATTTAAATGGATAGGTTAGAGCCAGAAAGTGTCTAAGATGAATAAGGGCTTGAAGTCAGAAAGAACTACTTTGAAAGTTCAAGCTCAGACATTTCACAGGTATGTGATTTTGGACAAGTCACTCTCCCCATCTGAGTCCCCGTTTCCTTACATGGGCAATAGAGATCATTGTGCCTGCCACAAAGATGTGTGGTGAGGATCCAAGAAGGAAACATGTACAGTGTCTGGCAGACAGCAACCACTCTTTAAATGTATGCTATTGTTACTGTTGTCACTGTGGTTTTTGGACAATGCAAGCAAGTAGGTTGTTCTAAACATGGCAACTCATATCCAGCCAACATGGTACAGCTTCCAAAGAATATTCCGATAAGCAGCTCCAAGTGTCCTCCCTGCTGCAGGAAAGGGGTTGAGACTTTCTATGATGGTTTTAAAATAGGTCCACTAAGTCACTGACGTTCTTTTATTCAACAGGTGGAAACTGCACTGGCCAGGTAGCTCAGCTGGTTAGAGCATCGTCCCAGTACACCAAGGTTTCAGGTTCAATCCCAGGTCAGGGCACATAAAGAATCAACCAATGAATGCATGGATGAGTGGAACAGCAAAATCAATGTCTCTCTTTCACTCACTCTCTCTCTCTGCCTCCCTCCCTCCCTTCCTCTCTCTTACTAAAAATCAATCAATCGCCCAGCTGGGCGTGGCTCAGCGGTTGAGCGTCAACCTGGGATCCAGGCGACCTGGGTTCGGTTCCCAGTCAGGGCACATGCCCGGGTTGCGGGCTCGATCAATGACTCTCTCATCATTGATTCTTCTATCTCTCTCTCTCCCTCTCCTTTCCTCTCTCTGAAATCAATAAAGATATATTTCTTAAAAAATTAAAAATCAATAAAAAGGTGAAAACTAATTCCCCTCCCCTTGAGTGTGTGTTGGGCTTACTGCCTCACTTCTAATGAACAGAATAAAGCACAAGTGACAGTATGTGACATCCAAGACTGGGTCATAAGAGACACTGTGGGTTCCTCTTGACTCTCTCTTCTGTGTCACTCACTCTAGTGGAAGCCAACTGCCTTGTCATAAGCATATTCAAGCAGTCCTATGGTTAGGTCCATGTGGTGAGGAACTGAGGCATCCTGCCAATAGCAGTGAGTGAGCAATATTGGAAACAGATCCTCTAGCCTCAGTCAAGCCTTCAGATGAGTGCAGCCCCAGCCAACATATTGACTACAACCTCATGATAGAGCCTGAGATAAGAACAACCCAGCTTAGCCTCTCTCAAATTCCTAACCCAAAGATCTTGAAAGAGAATAAATGTTTGTTGCTTTAAGCTGCTAAATTAGGGGGTGATTTGTTATGCAACAATAGAAAGCCGGTA